CCCGGCACTGGCCGCCAAGGCGTCTGGGGCGCCAGCGGCTGCGGATGGCTTCCAGAACGTGTTCACAGGTGAGCGCGCCCTGCTGCTGGCCTCCGGGTCGCAAGGCGCCTGCCAATCAGGGCCTTCCCCTGCCACCCGCCCTCCCTGGACTCGAAGGCGGTGACCTGGTAGTGGCGTGTCTCTTCTCCGTAGGGAATCCTTTTCGGTCCACCGAGCTCGCCCCCCTCGGTGACATGCCTCGGACATACTTGTTGGTTTTCTGTGTTCTTATAAGATCTTAAAGGGAACAACTTAGTTGTGTCTGTTCTAAGTCATCTCAAAAAAGGTTGCTCTGCCCATTTCACCGAAATATCTGCTCTTCACAATGTGTAGGGTCACGCCAGGGAGATAAACTCCTTTTTCGTCTTGTTAGCTAAACTATCATTCTTCTCTTTCATTTCTCATCACCACAGCATTACAAAGAAAAAAATTGTTCATGGTTCTTTCACAACAGTCGGTTTTGGAGGCACAAATCATTTATTCAAGTACGATCCAAACGCAATCTCTGACCGCTCTAGTATCTGTGTGTATTTGTACACGTTTGGTATGTATGTAATATGTAGTTTCTATCTTGCAGCAATCTGGGTTCCGCTACTTAGTGAAGTTAAGCGGTCACTCACTCCTGTTTGCTGCTGCAAGAAAATCCGATACATGCTATTAGAAAATTAATAAATAGAATAGTAGGGATCATTTTCATTTAGTTTCATGGTCCAACCCAGAACAGCCTGTAGTTTGGAGATAGTGAAGGTGAGAAGGTCAAAAGCACATCTAGTTCAACTGGTTACCTCCCCTCCCTAGCATATGTTATAGACTCACACCCAGGGTGACATAAAGCACAGCCAGAGTTTGTTTGCTGTGGTCAATGTCAAGCAGTCTAATGAGTTTATCCTAGCTTACAGGCTTACAGGACCCAAGGCCTTACCTTAAGAGCCCGACGTGTTTACCTAACCTCTATTCTTGATTATTAAATGAAATAGAGTATTAGAATTTAATGAATGGAAAAATATGAAAAGTCACATGACTACTGATAGGTTTATGATAAATATCTGAAGGATTAAACATTTCAAATGCAATCTGAAAATTTTAAAATCTTATGTTCTGTTATTTTAAACATTATGTGTAAAACATCGCTTAGATGAAATTTCTCAGCACAGACAGCGACTTCTTGGCTGACTAAATGCTGGTAATGTTGGGGTAGCTACTTATTGACCACATTTTAATTTACATCTGTGGACTACCTTTTATTTTGCCTTTATAGGGTCTTACCCTTAAAAGTAGCTTCTTCTATTCATTTCACATACTCTTATTTTTCTTCTTTTCCACCTCTTTATTGTGTAGATTGTTAAAAAGAATGTTTGTAGTTTTATACCCACTAGATAAATTGTAAAAAAAACCCCAACAAATTGAAAAAAGATCACTTTTGATAAAAGAAAATTGGAAAGTTTTTGCATGAATTTTCATGAATTTAATGTTGGTGAGGCATCACGTATTTTCTCTTTATCTAAGTGACATTCACGTATATCGTTTTCGAAAAGTGAAAATAATTCACCATAATGATTATCAATCATTAATATTAATGATAGTTATTCCTAGTAGCATAAGACTTTGGAAATTTATTTATTTCATTCATTTAGCAAATATATATATATATATGTATATACATTTGTGTGCATATATGTGCATACACACACATACGCACACACACCCATTGAGCAGCTGCATTGTGCTATGCAGTAATCTAAATGGTAGCACACTGTGCTAGGCAGTATTCTAGATGTAGGTGATACATAGGCCATTAAATCATGATTTTGCCCTTCTAAGCCTCACTGACTAGTGAGGAGGAGACATGAAATAAGTGCAGTGCACCGAAATATCTGTATAGGTAGAGACATGCAAATCACTGCTGGGACATCACGGATGCAGTGGCTTACCTGCTTGGTGGCAAGGGGTGAGGGAAGAGGACTTGAGAGAGGAGGATTGAACAGAGTCCTGGAAGATCACAAGACCCTAAATAGGTTGAATGTTTGTTTTCCTTTTTAAAAAAAGTGTCTTCTTGGAACTCGCATTTTATTTTAATTTGCTAAGTATTCCCAAATTTGAAATCTGGGACTCTTAAAAGAGTCCTGTATAGGAACCACCTGGGTTTTGTTGACCTCTCAGGCGATTTGTTTTTTAAATTGTGCAGAGTAGAAGTGCAGAGCTAGTCATTTTTATAAGGACATCACCTATTTTGTATTTGATGGTTGGATACAGCTAGTTGGTAATCAGCAAATATCTTTTTGTGTAGCAGCTTCCGTATATTTATCTCATTCACTCAGCATTGTTCAGGAAAAGAGGATCAGTAGGCTTTACCCAACTTCGTAACTGGTGGGGAAATGGAGATAGAGAAAGAGGTGAAATAACTTTCTCAAGGTCACACTGTGATTCATTCAGAGGCAGATCCAGAAATAGAAAGTGAGTCAATGATTCAAGTCTAATGTACTTATTATTTCTGTTTGGATGTTCAATGTTTTAAGGCCATATAGAGAGTAAAAACTGTTTATAAAATATATGATCGGATTTAGGGCCTTTCTTTAGTTAGATTTTCCAGTTCCTGTTTTTAATAAGGTGTACTCCTTTAATGCTTGAACATCTGGCCTTCCTTGAG